AGATTTTGTAATCTGTATTAAAGTAGATTCAATTATGTTCCTATTGAAAGAAATTTTACAATTTGTAATTGAAGAAACTTCTCCCAATCAATTTGGTGAGAACTTTCAATAATAATAATAATAATAATAATAATAATAATAATAATAATAATAATTTCTCTGTAAGAAGGTACAATAGGTTAGTAAGATTACATAAGATTGTTATTTGTACATTGATGCCAAGCCACTAACACGCATAGTGTTTCAGGCAGGTCCTTAATCTAACATATCAGGTAAGATGAAAAGGCACATTGTAGCAAGGTTTAAATCAATCAATAACTACAACCTAAGATGACAGCGGTGATGACACTGGTCAGGACATGCGTCTTGAATACTAATATTGGGGCAGTACAAGATTTAGTCTCCGTGGTGTAGTGGTAAGACACTCGCCTGGCGTTCCGCGAGCGCTATATCATGGGTTCGTATCCTGGCCGGGGAGGATTTACTGGGCGCAATTCCTTAACTGTAGCCTCTGTTTAACGCAACAGTAAAATGTGTACTTGGATGAAAAAACGATTCTTCGCGGCAGGGGATCGTATTCCAGGGACCATAGGATTAAGGACTTGCCCGAAACGCTACGCGTACTAGTGGCTGTACAAGAATGTAACAACTCTTGTTTATATCTCAAATGCTGTGTGCGTTTGAAGCACAAGGTAGGAAACTATGAGGAGGAAATTAGGTACTTTTGGGTTTTATTTTTGAATAGGGCATAGGTTGGAAATTTGTTTAATTCATCAGGACGACCCGTCCTCTTGAAAATAACGTTATTTTTCGCTCATATGCACGGTATGGCCAAAAATGAACGTAATTGGAAATGAAATCGGCTCACGAAAGTCATGTACTGTCCCGTTTTCTGTTTGAATCCTCCGGCTTACTCGGTTAAGTTAGTAGAAGAAACTTTCAATTAACGTTTTTTATGACGTTTTGAAACTTTAGGAGAATTTCCTACCCTCCTAACCTACCAGAGGACCCTTAACTTACTGTTTTGGGGAAAAAATCCTAAATTATTTTCATTTTTTTTTAATTATGTCCATTTTCGGCCATACGGTCAAACGGCCAAATTCAGACGTAATTTGTCAGACGACAGGTTGACCAGAGAGTGAGTGCCAAAAATTGGGTCCTTTTATTTGCATGGAGTGTTTGCACAGATTTACTCTGACTCTGGAAATATCACAGATATTTATTTCTGGTGTGGTGGTCATGGGTTCTATTACATCTATCAAGGAAAAGTTTCAGATCAGGATTAGCATTTAGGAACAAAGTTTTGTACATGTAGATAGCACATGGGAATGTGTGGAGTGAGCATTAGTGTTTAGTGAGTGTTTAGCATGTTAAGGGTGAGCATGTTTAGCATGTTTAGCATGTTTAGTGAGTGTTTAGCATGTTAAGGGACTTAAACAGAGAGGCTGTGTGTTCTCTGAAGACAGAGTTTGTTATAGTACTGATAGCAGACTTTTGCTGGGTGATGATGGACTTGAGGTGGTTTGCAGTGGTTGAACCCCATGCACAGATACAATAGGTAAGATAGGGATAGATTAGCGCCTAGTATAGTGAGAGGAGAGCAGTTTGGAACATAATATCTGATTTTAGAAAGTATATTTGATTTTCAACGTCCTCCCAGCAAGCATAAGAAATATTGCCGGAACAACCGTGGACATTTTCAAGAGGAAACTAGATTTATTCCTCCAAGGAGTGCCGGACCAACCGGGCTGTGGTGGGTATGTGGGCCTGCGGGCCGCTCCAAGCAACAGCCTGGTGGACCAAACTCTCACAAGTCAAGCCTGGCCTCGGGCCGGGCTTGGGGGAGTAGAAGAACTCCCAGAACCCCATCAACCAGGTATCAACCAGGTATACCAACCGTTATTGTGACTGTCTTGGTTATGTGTAGTATGTGGGTGCTGAAGTTGTCTCTTGTCTATGTATAGGCCAAGGAACTTTCCATCATTTTTTTTGCTGATGTTAACATTGTCTATCTGAAACTGAATTGCATTTGTTGATTTACTACCAAATAAACTGTAGTAGGTCTTTTGTATGTTTAGTTAGTTTGTTGGTTGACATCCATGAGTGGACGTTTTTTTAATTCGTTATTAACAACATCATTTAATGTGTTTGGGTTGGGGGTCTGAGTAGATAAGGGTAGTATCGTTAGCAAATAATATATGTTTAAGAATGTTAGAGACATTAAGCAGATCATTGATGTATATAAGAAATAGGAGAGGTCCTAGGATGCTGCCCTGTGGAACCCCTACGGTTAATGATAGAGTGGGAGAAAACCACTCTGAGAGAGAACTCTATCAACATCAGAGGCCCGAGACTGTTCAACACGCTTCCACTACACATAAGGGACATAACTGGCTGACCCCTCACAGTGTTCAAGAGAGAACTATCAACATCAGAGGCCCGAGGCTGTTCAACACGCTTCCACTACACATAAGGGACATAACTGGCCGACCCCTCACAGTGTTCAAGAGAGAACTATCAACATCAGAGGCCCGAGACTGTTCAACACGCTTCCACTACACATAAGGGACATAACTGGCCGACCCCTCACAGTGTTCAAGAGAGAACTATCAACATCAGAGGCCCGAGACTGTTCAACACGCTTCCACTACACATAAGGGGCATAACTGGCCGACCCCTCACAGTGTTCAAGAGAGAACTATCAACATCAGAGGCCCGAGACTGTTCAACACGCTTCCACTACACATAAGGGGCATAACTGGCCGACCCCTCACAGTGTTCAAGAGAGAACTATCAACATCAGAGGCCCGAGACTGTTCAACACGCTTCCACTACACATAAGGGACATAACTAGCCGACCCCTAAGTGTTCAAGAGAGAGAACTTGACAAACACCTCCAAAGGATACCTGATCAACCAGGCTGTGACTCATACGTCAGGCTGCGAGCAGCCGCATCCAACAGCCTGGTTGACCAGTCCAGCAACGAGGAGGCCTGGTTGACGTGCGGGCCGCGGGGTCGCTGAACCCCGGAATTACCTCAAGGTAACCTCAAGGTAAGGTAGGAGAGGTTACATCATTGATGGCTACATATTGGTGTCTGTCACTAAGATAGGATCGGATATAGTTCAGGGCATGGCCTCGAATTCCATAATGGTGGAGTTTAAGTAAGAGGTAGTTATGGTTCACAGTATCAAAGGCCTTTCTCAGGTCAATGAAGAGTCCAATCGGAAACTCACTTTTGTCAAGGGCTGAGTAGATTATATCAAGGAGACTAATAATTGCATCGTTGGTACTCTTTTGGGAGCGGAAGCCAAACTGACAGGGGCTTAATATATTGACTTTTATGAGGTAGGAGTACAGCTGTTTGTAAATCATTTTTTCACATATTTTTGATAATATAAGTAGATTTAATATTGGTCTGTAATTGTTAATGTCCGCCGGATTGCCTCCTTTATGAACTGGCGTTACTCCTGCTTTTTTAAAGATATCAGGGAAGGTATGACTCTCAAGGGATTTATTGAACAGCAGAGCTATGGGTGGTGCAAGGGCATGGGAAGGGCATTAGGCTCTTGTATACCATCGATGGTATTTCACTAATGTTTCCAGCTTTGGTTTTTAGCGAGTGTATGATGGACACAACATCTGTAGGGCTGACTGGTGAGAGGAGAAGAGAGTTTGGGTAGCTGCCTGAAAGATATGTGTTAACATGTGTTAAGTCTCCGGGATTTTTCTGGCAAGGTTAACACCAACCGATGAAAAGAAGCTGTTGAGTTATGTTGCCATTTCTAGATCTGTTGCAGGAGTATAACCATCATTGGAGAGTTGTATCTGGTTATGTGAATGTTGTTTAGAGTCTAGGATGTTACCTGCTTGATGGGGTTCTGGGAGTTGTTCTACTCCCCAAGCCCGGCCCGTGGCCAGGCTCGACTTGTAAGAGTTTGGTCCACTAGGCTGTTGCTTGGAGTGGCCCGCAGGCCCACATACCCACCACAGCCCGGCTGATTCGGAACGGAACTTCTCTTAGAAAACAGTCCAGGTTTCTCTTGAAGATGTCCACGGTTGTTCCGGCAATATTTCTTATAGTCGCTGGGAGGACGTTGAACAACCGCGGACCTCTGATGTTTATACAGTGTTCTCTGATTGTGGCTATTTCACCTCTGCTCTTCACTGGACCTCTGATGTTTATACAGTGTTCTCTGATTGTGGCTATGGCACCTCTGCTCTTCACTGGACCTCTGATGTTTATACAGTGTTCTCTGATTGTGGCTATGGCACCTCTGCTCTTCACTGGACCTCTGATGTTTATACAGTGTTCTCTGATTGTGGCTATGGCACCTCTGCTCCTCACTGGACCTCTGATGTTTATACAGTGTTCTCTGATTGTGGCTATGGCACCTCTGCTCTTCACTGGACCTCTGATGTTTATACAGTGTTCTCTGATTGTGCCTATGGCACCCCTGCTCTTCACTGGACCTCTGATGTTTATACAGTGTTCTCTGATTGTGGCTATGGCACCTCTGCTCTTCACTGGACCTCTGATGTTTATACAGTGTTCTCTGATTGTGGCTATGGCACCTCTGCTCTTCACTGGACCTCTGATGTTTATACAGTGTTCTCTGATTGTGGCTATGGCACCTCTGCTCTTCACTGGTTCAATCCTGCATTAGAGATTGCTCTCCATGTGCTTCTTATGTTTCCTTTGCTTCTTTGAATCTATTCTCATAACGGGAATGTTTTGCTTTTCTTATTATATACCCAACCACTTGGGCTGGACGGTAGAGCGACGGTCTCGCTTCATGCAGATCGTCGTTCAATCCCCGACCGTCCAAGTGATTGGGGCACCATTCCTTTCCCCCCGTCCCATCCCAAATCCTTATCCTGACCCCTTCCCAGTGCTATATAGTCGTAATGACTTGGCGCTTTTCCTTGATAATTCCTTCCTTCCTTTCCTTATTATATTGGTAAGCATTGATGAGTATCTCTTACTACTTCTTATGTAACTAGGCCAACCCGAAGTTTTCTTCAAATTCATATTTCTTGTTGACTGCTTTGATTATACCACTTGTGAGCCCGGGGTTCACTGACGAATGAACAAATAAAGCATTAGACACTTGGCCATGTTTTATAGAGTATTTATGTTGTGAAATTCTACATTTGAAATCTTTGGATGTTTGGCATGCATAGAACCTAGTACAGTCTTTACAAGGTATTGGTAAATGACACAATTATCACTACGAGGACTCTTTCTAACTAAACCTAGAGAAATATGGTAAACATAACACATTGTTTGGACGCATTTTCTCACTGCATATATTACTATAATATGTACGATGTGCTTTGCTAAGGCAAACTTATAGGTTATGTACCCATAATACAGGGTACAAAACACAAACAAATCTGCCCATAGTAGGAAAACAGTATGTCAAGGATTTGGGAATAATAATGTCCGACGACCTAACGTTTAGGGAGCATAACCAAGCAAATATTGCGACAGCCAGAAAAATGATAGGATGGATTACGAGAACTTTCAAATCCAGGGATCCCATCACAATGGTTGTACTCTTCAAGTCACTTGTGTTGTCCCGTCTTGAGTACTGCTCAGTACTCACTTCCCCCCTTCAGAGCAGAGAGATTGCTGAAATAGAGGGAATACAGAGAACATATACGGCATACATAGACGAGATAAAGCACCTAAATTATTGGGATCGTCTCAAAGCTCTCCAAATGTACTCACTAGAAAGGAGACGAGAGAGATACCAAATAATATACACATGGAAAATACTAGAGCGCCAGGTCCCAAATCTATACAGTAAAATAACAACGTACTGGAGTGAACGATATGGAAGAAAATGGAGAATAGAACCAGTGAAGAGCAGAGGTGCCATAGGCACAATCAGAGAACACTGTATAAACATCAGAGGTCCGCGGTTGTTCAACACCCTCCCAGCGAGCATCAGAAATATTGCCGGAACAACCGTGGACATCTTCAAGAGGAAACTATATTGTTTTCTTCAATTTGAACGTTATCGTAATCCATCTCATCATTTTTCTGCCTGACGATATATTTGCTTGGTTATGCTCCCTAAATGTTAGGTCGTCAGACATCATTATTCCCAGATCCTTCACATGTTGCTTTCCTACTATGGGCAGATTTGAGTGTGTTTTGTACTCTGTATTATGTTTAATGTCCTCATTTTTACTGTTAAACATCATGTTATTTTCTGTTGCCAAGTCGAAAACTTTATTAATGTCTGCTTGAAGTTTTTGAATGTCTTCAGTAGAAGTGATTTTCATGCTGATTTTTGTCATCTGCAAAGGATGACACGAAGCTGTGACTTGTATTTTTGTCCATATCTTATATGAGAATAAGGAAAAGCAGCGGTGCAAGGACTGTACCCTGAGGTACAGAGCTTTTAATTGCGCTTGGACTCGATTTTATATGGTTGACTGTTACTCTTTGTGTTCTGTTTGACAGAAAACTGAGTATCCAGCGTCCTATTTTACCAGTTGCTCCCATTGACCTCATTTTGGATGCTATCACTCCATGGTCACATTTGTCGAATGCCTTTGCGAAGTCTGTGTATACCACATCTGCATTCTGTTTTTCTTCTAATGCCTCAGTGACTTTGTCGTAATGGTCCAGTAGCTGTGAGAGGCATGATCTTCCTGCTCTAAATCCATGTTGGCCTGGATTGTGGAGGTCATTGGTTTCCATGAATCTAGTGACCTGACTCCTGATCACTCTCTCAAATACTTTTATTATGTGGGATGTTAGTGCAACTGGTCTATAATTCTTTGCCAATGCTTTGTTACCTCCCTTGTGTAGAGGGGCAATGTCTGCTGCTTTAAGCGCATCTGGTATCTCCCCCGTGTCCAAGCTCTCCCTCCACACTATACTGAGTGCCTGTGCTACTGGCACTTTGCATTTCTTTATTAATATTTTATTCCGTGAGGCTGGGCCTGGAGCCGAGTGCATGGACATGTTTTCAATTTCATTTTCAAAATCTGCCACGCTCGTGTTGATATCAGTTATATTTACAGGTGTTTGGATATCATGCATACAGAAATTGTCCGGATCTTCCACTTTCATACTGTGTATCGGAGTGCTAAACGTGTCCTCATACTGCTTTTTTAGGATTTCACTAATTTCTTTGTCGTCCTCCGTGTATGAACCTTCACTAATACAAATAGGTCCAATACTGGCAGTGGGTTTTACTTTTGATTTCGCATATGTGAAGAAATATTTTGAGCTTTTCTTTATTTATTGAATTGCTTTCTGTTCTAGTTGCCTTTCTTCAGTCTGATGACTGTTTCAGTCTCTGCTGGCTTTCTTCCATCTTCCTGTTTAAATTATTCCTTCTTTGTACTCTCGGAAGTACAGTGTATTTGTACATTGTACTTCAGGCAGACATTGAATGTACTTTGTAAAATATTTGTAGTGAAAGTTGTGTCTGCTTAAGTATTTCCGTGATTTTTTTCCTGCGTTTATAGTGTCGTCTGCGTTCTCTTTCTACGTTGGATCTCTTTCTGGCTTTCCTCAAAGGAACATGTTTCAGACAGACTTGATACGCTTCCGAAGTCAGTTTTTCTATTCCTTCTGTAGGACTTGTATTACTTAGAACAGTTTCCCATGGAATGTTTGTAAGTTCCCTGTTTATTATCTCCCAGTCTATCCTTTTATTATTAAAATTGAATTTACTGAATAGCCCCTCTCGCTTTATCAACGTTTTAGGTCTATTCTGAGTATTGATGGTCGTTTGCACTTCAATGAGCTTGTGATCTGAGTATGTGGTATCTGATATCGTAATGTCCCTGATAATGTCTTCATTGTTTGTAAAGACCAGATCTAGAATATTTTAATTTCTCGTTGGCTCTGATATCTGCTGATTGAGTGAAAATTTGTCACAGAATCTAAGTAGTTCTCTAATCTGTGGTTGGTTAGGTCCTGATAGATTTCCTGGTATAATATTATTGTTTGCTATTTTCCATCTTAGACTAGGAAAGTTGAAGTCACCTAGGAAGATAATATCAGGTATCTGGTTATCTTGAGAGATCTTCTTGAGATGATTTCGGGGCTTTTAGTGTCCCCGCGGCCCGGTCCTCGACCAGGCCTCCACCCCCAGGAAGTAGCCCGTGACAGCTGACTAACACCCAGGTACCTATTTTACTGCTAGGTAACAGGGACATAGGGTGAAAGAAACTCTGCCTGAAACTGTCCTGCTTCTCCAAATTATCATGGCTATTCTCTAATTTGTTTATCTGTTCTGTGAATTCCTCAGCCGTTGCATCTGGCGGTTTGTACATTAGTATAATCACTAAATTTATTTTCTCTATTTTTACTCCCAGTACCTCTACCACCTCATTTGTAACGTTTAGGAGCTCCGAGCATACAAGGTCTTCCCTAATATACAGACCCACTCCTCCATGTGACCTAATTTTCCTATCGCACCTGTATATGTTATATCCTGGAATCCAGATCTCACTGTCCAACAATTCCTCTGCATGGGTTTCTGTGAAAGCTCCAAATACTGCATTTGACTCCGTGAGGAGGCCATTTATGAACTGTACTTTGTTGTTTGTTCTTGTTTTCAGTCCTTGTATGTTGGCCAAGATGAATGAGGTTACTGTTGACCAGACCACACACTAGAAGTTGAAGGGACGACGACGTTTCGGTCCGTCCTGGACCATTCTCAAGTCGATTGTCTCGACTTGAGAATGGTCCAGGACGGACCGAAACGTCGTCGTCCCTTCACCTTCTAGTGTATGGTCTGGTCAACATACTTCAGCCACGTTATTGTGACTCATCGCCTGCAAATGAGGTTACTCTATTAGTGATAGTTTGAATGGGAGACTTTTTCGGCAAGCCCATTATGCGTGGACATAATGAGTTTGTTCTGACCAGTGCTGATGTTGTAGGGTTGTTGTCTGTTGTAGTTGTAGGGTTGTTGCTTGTTGCAGTTGTAGGGTTGTTGTCTGTTGTAGTTGTAGGGTTGTTGCTTGTTGTAGTTGTAGGGTTGTTGTCTGTTGTAGTTGTTGGGTTGTTGTCTGTTGTAGTTGTAGGGTTGTTGTCTGTTGTAGTTGTAGGGTTGTTGTCTGTTGTAGTTGTAGGGTTGTTGCTTGTTGTAGTTGTAGGGTTGTTGCTTGTTGTAGTTGTAGGGTTGTTGTCTGTTGTAGTTGTAGGGTTGTTGTCTGTCGTAGTTGTAGGGTTGTTGCCTGTTGTAGTTGTAGGGTTGTTGCTTGTCGTAGTTGTAGGGTTGTTGTCTGTCGTAGTTGTAGGGTTGTTGCCTGTTGTAGTTGTAGGGTTGTTGCGTGTCGTAGTTGTAGGGTTGTTGCCGTAGTTGTAGCTGTGTTGTAGTGGGTAATTGTGTCTGTGACTCAGGTATACAAGTGGGTCTGTAACCCAGTCCCAGACATTCTCTGTGTTCCTCCTTCTGACATCTCTTTCGGCTTGGTATACGTATTATTTGAGTTTCCTCCAAATCCATTATGTTGCTTGCCACTTGTTTATGTAGAGTGTTACGGAGGTCTGGTTTACCTTGGTGTAGAGGCGTGGGTGTTGGTACACTTGTGGGGTGCACCTTTATGGTGGTGGTGGTGGTTGTTGGTGAACAACCACCACCAGTACCCTCCAACACCACCCTCCACCACCACCACCCACCACAACCCTCCACCACCACCCTCCCCCCCCACCCCCCCACGACCCCCCCCCCCCCCACCACCAGCACCTTGTGCTTCAGCCACAAAAACTGGCCCGTTATGGTAGAAAGTGGCGACTGAGTCTGGCCTGGAGGAGTGTGTGTACATGAGTGAGGGTACTCACCTGGCCTTACTCACCTGGTTGTGCTGGTGGTGGTGTACGTGAGTGAGGGTACTCACCTGGCCTTACTCACCTGGTTGTGCTGGTGGTGGTGTACATGAGTGAGGGTACTCACCTGGCCTTACTCACCTGGTTGTGCTGGTGGTGGTGTACATGAGTGAGGGTACTCACCTGGCCTTACTCACCTGGTAGTGCTGGTGGTGGGTGTCAGCCCCTGGCCTCCCCCTCCCTCCCTCCCTGCACGGACCTGTTGCACACCTGTTGCACATTGTCAGGTTGCTCTTCCTGCTGCTACCCCGCCTGGCAGGTAGCGCCCAGAGCTGTGCTCTCTCTGTCTCTCTCTCTCTCTCTCTCTCTCTCTCTCTCTCTCTCTCTCTCTCTCTCTCTCTCTCTCTAACTCTCTCTCTCTCTCTCTCTCTCTCTCTCTCTCTCTCTCTCTCTCTCTCTCTCTCTCTCTCTCTCTCTCTCTCTCTCTCTCTCTCTCTCTCTCTCTCTCTCTCTCTCTCTCTCTCTCTCTCTCTCTCTCTCTCTCTCTCTCTCTCTCTCTCTCTCTCTCTCTCTCTCTCTCTCTCTCTCTCTCTCTCTCTCTCTCTCTCTCTCTCTCTCTCTCTCTCTCTCTCTCTCTCTCTCTCTCTCTCTCTCTCTCTCTCTCTCTCTCTCTCTCTCTCTCTCTCTCTCTCTCTCTCTCTCTCTCTCTCTCTCTCTCTCTCTCTCTCTCTCTCTCTCTCTCTCTCTCTCTCTCTCTCTCTCTCTCTCTCTCAGTTGTCCAATCTGAGGGCAGATGCTCGCGGCGCCTGTCTAACTCGAGTAAACGCAACCTGTCCTCCTGCATAGAACGTCGTTTTTCGGTCGTATGTGTCACATAAGGCCATAAAAATTGTCGTACTGGAAAATGGAAGCGGCTGGCGAAAGTGACGTACTGTCCCGTTTTCTGTTGTGGGTCCTCTGGCAGGTTAGGGGGACGGGCTGGTGAACAAGAGCAGGCTAGTGTGTCTCTGACTGACCTCCTCTCTCCACCTAGTGGCCTCAGCGGGGGCAGGAAGCCGGTGGCTTGTTAAACGTCCCCTCCCCTTGTTTGTGATTTTTTTTTTAGTTTTTTTAACTGCATTTTGAACTGCAGTCTTGGTATTTAGGGCTCGGGCGGGTAGGCGGTTCCATGGGTTCCCAAACCTGTGGGTGACAAAGCATCTCCTGGTTCTACATTGCTCCAACTTGTTCAGTATTTAGAGGTGTTAGCGAGCGCTATCATGTCCGGTTTGATTATATTGAAAGCTCTCCCATATTGACGGACTTCCCAGATGGACTCAACTGTATCTAAGTCTTGTATTGTAACGTGTGATGATATACAGGACCTGTACCCGTGTAATGGTTGTGTAACACGCCTGGCTCTAATGTCATTACATCTTGGAGTTGTAAAGGAGGCGCTGTAATCACCCAGTTGTTGTTGGGTGGTTCAGTAATTAACAGCCATGTTGTAGCAACTCTCTTGCCTCTTGGCCTCTTCATACACACACACACACACATACACACACACACACACACACACACACACACACACACACACACACACACACACACACACACACACACACACACACACACACACACAATGCTGTTTAGCTCAACCATTTACATTTCCAAGCACAAGTGGTTCACATTATGTGGTAAAGTGGTGGTAAGTGTACTACACATAATGTAGCCAAACACATCACTGTGTATGTAAGTCACACGATGAATGTATGATGGTGAGTATTGTATGAGGTATGATGAAGTATGGTGAAGTATGGTGAGGAACCGTCTGATCCTCATATATGAGCCGGGGGTTGGGGGTAGAATAGACCTATTCTACTCCCCCCCCCCAGCCCACCAAAAGGTGGGTTGGGGGGGGGGGAGAATAGTTAAGGATGACACTGACTCACTGAGTTAAGAGGTTCCCCTTAACCTTTAACCTCAATATTTCTACCCCTTATCTACCATATCTGACCCCTTATCTACCATATCTGCCCCTTATCTACCATATCTGACCCCTTATCTACCATATCTGACCCCTTATCTACCATATCTGACCCCTTATATACCATATCTGACCCCTTATCTACCATATCTGACCCCTTATCTACCATATCTGACCCCTTATCTACCATATCTGACCCCTTATCTACCATATCTGGGGAGAGGGGGTGGATGGCAGCTTGGGGGAGAGGGGGTGGATGGCAGCTTGTGGAGAGGGGTGGATGGCAGCTTGGGGAGAGGGGGTGGATGGCAGCTTGAGAAGAGGGGTGGATGGCAGCTTGGAGAGGGGTGGTGGATGGCAGCTTGAGAAGAAGAGGGGGTGGATGGCAGCTTGGGGAGAGGGGTGGTGGATGGCAGCTTGGGGAGAGGGGATGGATGGCAGCTTGGGGAGAGGGGGTGGATGGCAGCTTGGGGAGAGGGGGTGGATGGCAGCTTGGGGAGAGGGGGTGGATGGCAGCTTGGGGAGAGGGGGTGGATGGCAGCTTGGGGAGAGGGGTGGATGGCAGCTTGGGGAGAGGGGTGGTGGATGGCAGCTTGGGGAGAGAGGTGGATGGCAGCTTGGGGAGAGGGGTGGATGGCAGCTTGGGGAGAGGGGTGGATGGCAGCTTGGGGAGAGGGGTGGATGGCAGCTTGTGGAGTGGGGTGGATGGCAGCTTGGGGAGAGGGTGTGGATGGCAGCTTGGGGAGAGGGGGTGGATGGCAGCTTGGGGAGAGGGGTGGATGGCAGCTTGGGGAGAGGGGTGGATGGCAGCTTGGGGAGAGGGGGTGGATGGCAGCTTGGGGAGAGGGGTGGATGGCAGCTTGGGGAGAGGGGGTGGATGGCAGCTTGAGACGAGGTCATTAGAGAACCAGCTGTTGTAAAGGCCGGATCCAAGGAGCTAGAACTCGATCATGCACTCACAAATAGGCGAGTGCACCCCCAGAGAACGAGAGTGGTTGGGGAGTGTAGGTGGTAGTGAAAGTGAACTGGCTTACAGAGTGCAGGTGGGGGAGGTGGGGGGGGGTGTTGGGGTGCAGGTGGGGGAGGTGGGGGGTGTTGGAGTGCAGGTGGGGGGGGGGTGTTGTGGTGCAGGTGGGGGGGGTGTTGTGGTGCAGGTGGGGGAGGTGGGGGGAGTGTTGTGGTGCAGGTGGGGAGGTGGGGGGTGTTGTGGTGCAGGTGGGGGAGGTGGGGGGTGTTGTGGTGCAGGTGGGGGAGGTGGGGGAGTGTTGTGGTGCAGGTGGGGGAGGTGGGGGGTGTTGTGGTGCAGGTGGGGGAGGTGGGGGGTGTTGTGGTGCAGGTGGGGGGTGTTGTGGTACAGGTGGGGGAGGTGGGGGAAGTAAGAGGGTGTTGTGGTGCAGGTGGGGGAGGTGGGAGGGTGTTGTGGTGCAGGTGGGGGAGGTGGGGGGTGTTGTGGTGCAGGTGGGGGAGGTGGGGGGTGTTGTGGTGCACGTGGGGGAGGTGGGGGGTGTTGTGGTGCAGGTGGGGGAGGTGGGGGGTGTTGAGGTGCAGGTGGGGGAGGTGGGGGGTGTTGTGGTGCAGGTGGGGGAGGTGGGGGGTGTTGTGGTGCAGGTGGGGGAGGTGGGGGGGTGTTGTGGTGCAGGTGGGGGAGGTGGGGGGGTGTTGTGGTGCAGGTGGGGGAGGTGGGGGGGTGTTGTGGTGCAGGTGGGGGAGGTGTTGGGGCAGGTGGGGGAGGTGGGGGGGGGGGTGTTGTGTGCAGGTGGGGGAGGTGGGAGGGTGTTGTGGTGCAGGTGGAGGTGGGAGGGTGTTGTGGGCAGGTGGGGGAGGTGGGGGGTGTTGTGGTGCAGGTGGGGGAGGTGGGAGGGTGTTGGGTGCAGGTGGGGGAGGGGGGGGGTGTTGTGGTGCAGGTGGGGGAGGTGGGAGGGTGTTGTGGTGCAGGTGGGGGAGGTGGGAGGGTGTTGTGGTGCAGGTGGGGGAGGTGGGAGGGTGTTGTGGTGCAGGTGGGGGAGGTGGGAGGGTGTTGTGGTGCAGGTGGGGGAGGTGGGAGGGTGTTGTGGTGCAGGTGGGGGAGGGGGTGTTGTGGTGCAGGTGGGGGAGGTGGGGGGGTGTTGTGGTGGGTGTTGGGGTGCAGGTGGGGGAGGTGAGGGGGTGTTGTGGTGCAGGTGGGGGAGGTGGGGGGTGTTGTGGTGCAGGTGGGGGAGGTGGGAGGGTGTTGTGGTGCAGGTGGGGGAGGTGGGAGGGTGTTGTGGTGCAGGTGGGGGAGGTGGGAGGGTGTTGTGGTGCAGGTGGGGGAGGTGAGGGGGTGTTGTGGTGCAGGTGGGGGAGGTGGGGGGTGTTGTGGTGCAGGTGGGGGAGGTGGGAGGGTGTTGTGGTGCAGGTGGGGGAGGTGGGAGGGTGTTGTGGTGCAGGTGGGGGAGGTGGGGGGGTGTTGGGGTGCAGGTGGGGGAGGTGGGAGGGTGTTGTGGTGCAGGTGGGGGAGGTGAGGGGGTGTTGTGGTGCAGGTGGGGGAGGTGAGGGGGTGTTGTGGTGCAGGTGGGGGAGGTGAGGGGGTGTTGTGGTGCAGGTGGGGGAGGTGAGGGGGTGTTGTGGTGCAGGTGGGGGAGGTGAGGGGGTGTTGTGGTGCAGGTGGGGGAGGTGGGGGGGTGTTGTGGTGCAGGTGGGGGAGGTGGGAGGGTGTTGTGGTGCAGGTGGGGGAGGTGAGGGGGTGTTGTGGTGCA